GGAGCTGAAGTCTTGTCGGGTCATTTAGTTGCTGAAGTTGCTTTATTCATTCGTTAGGGAAACGTAATCTTCTAGTCGCTGCTCTAATTCATTATTTCGCCCTTTTTGGCAGGAGATGACCTTAACTACCTTTAATTCTTAATTTCATGCAATAAACGGGTGCATATTGACACTTGGTGATTTTAATTATTGCTGAGAGAATGCAGTTGAAGGGACACAGGAAGTGAGGTTGAAAGAAGGGCACTTTCTTCCCACTCCCATAGTGTTGTATTTTTTGAAGCACCAAATAAATTGGCAATTAGATCCAGTAAATACGTTGTTCTCATCGTACTTTGGGTTGATGGGCGTACTTGGGGGTTGTAAACGTGTCCATAAAGGCGACAGTCATTCACTGTATAGACAAAGTTGGGAAGGTTAAAGAGCATTAATTCTAATCTTCTGGAAATGCATTATGTCTCGTTGGTTATCGTGTTCACAAATACTCAATAAAAGCGGTAGCTAGTATACGATTCGGTTTAACAGGTTCTTGCAATTTAATGTACTGTAGGGCTGGAAAGCCTATTTTTAGGTGCTACGTGACTGTTACAGAGGTGTACAAGTGGCATTGCCACTACCCTCTGTGCGTACAATCGACTTTTGATCGCAATTTCGCAGGTAATGGCCAGGAAGTACTAAATACTTAGAAACAATTTAATTCAAGTTGGAAGACAAGCATTATCTACTCATTCTGATGATGCTGTTATTCACAACCAGATCGTTACTTAACGTCAGTGTTGATGGCACCGATCCGCTTAACCCCCAGTTTTGTGCTTCGTTTACTGTATTCTAGAACCAGTAAGAACTATAGTATCTTCCCCTTCACTTCAGCCAGATTTATCGTCCCTTCAACTGACATTGCTGGGTTGGTGGACTCAGAAGCTTGGTACACCAGCTCTCTCGATGTCTCACTCAAGCGTCGCTCCTACGTCGACACCACCCTTCATGCGGTTTCTGTGGCCACCGCTCCCACCCCCTTCACCGCTTCCTCTAACGGCGCTTCCCATCGCCCCGCCAACATCAAACGCCACAGTCAGTCAGGTCTTCGGTTGTCCCGCAAAACTCTTGCTCAAATTGCCCGAACTCCTCCACGGCTTCGTCTTACAGCACGGCTGGACAAACTCACAGTGCTGCCGGTGTGTGGATACGCTAGTCTGTTGCGTGCACTATCTAGTCCCACAGCCTGCACATTGCTATTGAGGCGACTGGAGCCTTGGTTGTCCGTGAAATCCAAGGCAGCGTTGGCGAAGTCGCTGCTAGCGATGCTGCAGTTGAGGGGCGAGGTGCCGGCCTTTCTGGCTGCTTTAGTGCTCTCAGAAGTTCAAGAACAAGGTGAACCAATTTTCAGGCTGTTATTTCAATTATCCTTCTGGGAGTGTTTTTGTACTTGTTGATCCTAGTGACAAATATTTTATTTTGTCTTGTCTTCTTATGGATATATAATCTCTCTCAGAAACCGCTGCCGCAGCAATTTGACAAATCGAGGTATCCTTGCTCAGTTCAACTTGTTTTTAATGTTGGAGAAATATTTTTACTGAACTGGTCTTGTCACATCCATCCTATGTTGTTCCTTTTCATAGAGCGTCTTAAAATGCTACAGAAACTTAGAGCTAAGTCGTAATACCTCAACATCCCTTTAACTTCTCTTTATTTCACTTATTTGTAAATCGAGGTTTACATAATTTTTGATCGAAAGGTTAAAAAACTTGGCTAATTCTTTTCAACTTCGAGTTTGAATGGATCAAGTTGAAAAAATAAAATGACGATAAATAAGTCACAATTTCGCCTCCTCGGGAGCAAAATTAGAATGAATTTTTAATAAACTGGATTCACAAAGGAATCGTTGCTTTAAACA